CATCCTTCACAGCATGTTAATATTTTCCTTGTTTTATTTTGTGCCACTTTCCTTCCAAATTCAGATGACAACCTTGAATAGCATTTTTGACACATCCTTTTTTTTAAATTGCCACAAGATATAAGTTTATGAGAGGTAGGAGTTACTGGTAGAGCTGGTACAGTAGGTTTGAATAAAAGTGGTTTAATAATTTCTTCTTTAAAGCTTGTAATAGTGATGTTCTTCATAGTAACAGATTTCTAAAGTGAAAGAGCATTCACAACAGAAGTTGACAAAAGTATATCAAACGCTTCTTTTCTGTACCATTTTATTGACCTTTTTAAGGGACTTGAATAAGATGCCATTTGGTCTGAACGATCTATAAAAGATTTTCCAACGTTATAATCTTCCACCACAAGAGGTTTTTTTATTATATCTCCAGTTCTTCGTCGTATTTCTATGGTTTCATCAGTGTGTTTAGTTGTAWTTAAGTATATATCACGTTTATCTCGCCATTTCATGACAACAATATTAGAATTACTTTGCTGAGCGAAAAGTTCTCCTTTTTTTAATTTTTTACTTATTACATCACGTGGATTACCACGTCGGTTAGCTCTTAAAGTTCCGACCAYATGAGTATTTTCACAGTTAAGTTTTTCGGCCAACTCTACACTAGAATACCAATTATCAATGAATAAACATCTTCCAAAATTTAAATAAKGTTTCAATAATTTTAAAACTATTTTGTGTGAAACATTAGTTTCACGAACYGCTTCTTTTCCCGCATAAATATTGTACTGTAACGTGTAGAAATCTTTTGCACAAAGCTTAAAAATTTTAATGCCGTAACGATGTGTTTTATTTTTTAAATATTGTCGTTTTCCTATAAATGGTACAACACTTTCATCGATGCATAAGACCTCTTCAGGTACCATTTTTGAAAATTAAATACTAATAAGTTCACCAATTTTTGTATCTTATCTAACCTTCCATGTTCTGGTTTTTCGTTGTTCGAGCAATGAAACATACTTAAAATTAACTCAAATCTATTTCTACTCATTACTTCAGTAACTTTATTCGCATACAATATATCTTTCCGCCAATAATCAACTAAACTGGGCATATTTACCAATCCCATCCACATAACAAGGCCCAGAAAATTCCTCATTTCTGTACGATCAATCGGGTTCCATTTTTTTAATCGAGAATATGCCTTCAATTTACGATTACGAAGAGATTGCGAAAAAGTCTAAAATTTCTTCATCAAAAAATAAACCATAAAAATCAATGGACAAACAATCCGTCATTGTTTTCATAATGTCTGAATTTATACCAACTTCCAAATTATGAGGATTATATTGTATATTATTAAGATTACCTATAACTGGTCCCCAAGTTAGTGTTGTAGTTTCATTTTGAATGTTATTTTCAACTGCAGCTCTTTCGTTTTCAAAATGTTCAACTTCAATCTCTTCACCGATATCTTCGTAATTTTCAC